GAAGCAAGTGGGCAAATTGCCGAGTTTATGGGACAGTTTCGAGACCAAGGAAGACTCCTTAGTTCAACCGTTGCAAATCCAAAAGGGGGATTCGAAACCGCCAAAGCAATTACATTGAGAAGTGGCAAACAAGTTGGAACTGAACCCCAAGCATCCAAAACAAGTCATGAAGAGGATGAAAAGTTGCAGTTTGAAGAGAACACACAAGCAACACCCACGGCAAGGAGGGAACCACCTTTGCCGCAGCCATCTTGCACTTCCAATCCATATAATTCGGCCAAGGTAAGTTCAATTCCAACTTCTCCAAGTTCTATTCCACTAAACGTGCCTTTTCCTGGCAGGTTGAAGCAATCCAAGAAGGAGGAGAACGAGAAAGACATTTTGGAGACGTTTCGGAAAGTGCAAGTCAATATACCTCTTCTTGACGCAATTAAGCAAGTACCTAGGTACACCAAGTTTTTGAAGGAACTATGCACAACAAGAAGGAGAATTTCGAACAAAGAAGTGGTCCAGGTAAGTGAGAATGTTTCCGCTGTTTTGCAAAGAAAACTACCTCCTAAATGCAAAGATCCAGGTAGTTTTACAATTTCATGTGTTATAGGCAATACTAAATTTGAACATGCTATGTTAGATCTAGGAGCTTCAATTAACGTCATGCCATACTCAATTTATGCATCCATGAACTTAGGAGAACTTAAAAACGATGGTGTTATAATTCAATTAGCCGATCGTTCTAATGCATATCCGAAAGGAGTTTTGGAAGATGTGTTGGTGCAGGTGGATAACTTGATATTTCCAGCGGATTTCTATGTCTTAGAGATGGAGGACTCACCAAATGTCACCCCATTGCCGATTCTACTTGGGAGGCCTTTCATGAAAACAGCACGCACCAAGATCGATGTGTTCAAAGGGACGTTGACAATGGAATTTGATGGGGAGATTATTAACTTTAACATTTCTGAAGCTATGAAATTTCCTATAGATGATCATTCTTGTTTTTCTATTGATATATTGGATGAATTGGCGCAGGATTATCTTGATATGTTGGAAGACGATCCCCTTGAAACAACGATTGCACAAGGACTTGGCATGAAGCCCAATCTGGCCGTACCTAAGGGAGGAGCATGCCGAGCTTGTGGCTGCCTTGGAATCATTGCCCCAACATCGTGGTAAGCCTTCTAACCCAATTCCAATTCCCGTTTCCACTAATACGTTGTTACCTTCTGTGATTCAGGCCCCCGTTCTGAGCTTAAACCGTTGCCGGATCATTTAAAGTATGTATTCTTGGGAGATGAAGAGACGTTGCCCGTCATTGTCTCTTCATCACTCACGGCATTAGAGGAAGAAAAGTTGATTCGGGTGTTGAAAGAGCACAAAACAGCCATTGGATGGACATTGGCCGATATTAAGGGAATTAGCCCTACAACATGCATGCATCGCATATTTCTAGAGGAGGGGGCTAAACCAACTCGAGAGGCTCAACGCCGGCTCAACCCTCCGATGATGGAAGTCGTGAAACAGGAGATTATAAAGCTTCTCGATTGTGGAGTGATTTATCCAATTTCGGATAGCCGTTGCGTCTCACCGGTTCAAGTTGTCCCGAAGAAGTCCGGAGTTACTGTGGTGAAGAATGCCGAGGATGAGCTTGTGCCAACCCGTATTCAAACAGGTTGGAGAGTGTGCATTGACTATAGGAAGCTCAACAACACCACAAGGAAGGATCATTTTCCACTACCATTCATCGATCAAATGTTAGAAAGGTTAGCCGGTCATTCTTTTTATTGTTTTCTTGACGGTTATTCGGGATACAATCAAATTGTCATAGCTCCGGACGACCAAGAAAAGACCACCTTCACGTGCCCATTTGGTACTTTTGCTTACCGGCGCATGCCATTCGGATTATGCAATGCACCGGCCACGTTCCAAAGATGCATGGTAAGTATCTTTTCCGAGTTTATTGAGAAGATTATTGAGGTATTCATGGATGATTTTAGTGTCTTTGGCGATTCGTTTGATGGTTGCTTGGAAAATCTCACATTAATCTTAAAACGATGCGTGGAAACGAACCTTGTTTTAAATTGGGAAAAGTGTCACTTTATGGTAAAACAAGGCATCGTTTTAGGGCACATCGTTTCTGAAAGGGGAATTGAAGTTGATAAATCGAAAATAGATCTTGTACGCTACTTACCCTCTCCAACTTCGGTTAGAGAGGTACGCTCTTTTCTTGGCCACGCAGGATTTTATAGGCGATTCATCAAGGACTTTTCAAAGATTTCCACACCCCTATGCCGACTTCTCCAAAAGGATGTGTCCTTCGAATTCAACGAGGAGTGTGAAAAGGCGTTCAAACACCTCAAAGAGATGCTAACTTCGGCCCCCATCATTCGGCCACCAGATTGGAGCATTCCCTTCGAGCTTATGTGCGATGCGTCCGATTATGCTCTAGGCACTGTTTTGGGACAAAGGAAGGACAAACAGCCACACGTCATATATTATGCCTCTCGGACCTTGAACGATGCTCAATTGAACTATTCCACAACGGAAAAAGAACTTCTTGCCGTTGTTTTTGCTTTAAATAAGTTTCGTTCTTATTTACTTGGCACTAAAGTAATAATTTACACTGATCATGCAGCGTTGAAGTACTTGCTCACGAAGAAGGAGGCTAAACCAAGGCTTATTCGATGGATGCTTCTCCTCCAAGAGTTCGATATCGAAATCCGAGACAAGAAAGGAAGTGAGAACGTTGTGGCTGATCACCTGAGCCGTTTGGTGCATGAAGAGGAGGTTGTGCCGATCCCAGAGACATTCCCGGACGAGCAATTGATGTCCATTGAGGTTAGTATGCCATGGTATGCGGATTTAGTTAATTATTTAGCATCTAAAGTCATTCCAAGTGAGTTCAATAAAAACCAACGTGATAAACTTAAGTATGATGCACGAAATTATGTGTGGGATGATCCTTATTTATGGAAATATTGCTCTGATCAAATCATTCGTAGGTGTGTGCATGATTCTGAAATTCAGTCTATTTTAAACTTTTGTCACACTTATGCATGTGGAGGTCACTTTGGCACTCAAAGGACTGCACGTAAAGTACTTGAATGTGGTTTTTATTGGCCTACTATTTTTAAGGATGCTAGAACTTTTTGCATTGCATGTGATCGTTGTCAACGAACTGGAAATATAGGACCAAAAGACCAAATGCCGCAAAGTCCCATCTTTAATGTTGAAATTTTTGATGTGTGGGGCATAGATTTCATGGGTCCCTTTCCTTCATCTCATGGTTTTGTTTATATTCTACTTGCGGTTGATTATGTGTCGAAATGGGTGGAAGCAAGAGCCACCCGTACTAATGATTCTAAAGTGGTTGCAGATTTTGTTAAGACTAACATTTTTGCAAGGTTTGGAATGCCGCGGGTACTTATAAGTGATGGGGGCTCTCATTTCTGCAATCGCACCATTGAAGCGCTACTCAAGAAATATGGTGTCACGCATAAGGTGGCAACACCTTATCATCCTCAAACAAGTGGGCAAGCGGAGGTGTCAAATAGGGAAATCAAGCAGATTTTGGAGAAGACCGTAGGGCCAAACCGGAAAGATTGGAGCTTGCGCTTGAATGATGCATTATGGGCGTATCGCACGGCCTACAAAACACCAATTGGAATGTCCCCATTTCGGCTCATTTATGGGAAACCATGCCATCTTCCGGTTGAATTGGAGCATAAAGCACATTGGGCCATCAAAACCTTTAATATGGACATTGATGCCGCAGGTCTTCATAGGAAACTTCAATTGAACGAGCTTGAGGAAGTTAGGAATGAAGCTTACGAGAACTCTCGTATTTACAAGGAGAAAACGAAGGCCTTCCATGACAGGATGATTCGGAGCAAGACGTTCTCTATCGGGCAGAAAGTGCTACTTTTCAATTCTCGCCTTCGGTTATTTCCAGGTAAGTTGCGTTCTAAATGGATTGGACCTTTTATTGTTACTAATGTTTTTCCGCATGGTGCAGTTCAAATTCAAAGTTTGAAGACGCAACAAGAGTTCAAAGTCAATGGACATCGTTTGAAGCCATATTTCACACCTTTTGAGGTGGAGACCGTGGAGGAAGTCAATCTCCAACCCGTGGGCCCTATTCAAGCTTGATTGGAAGCATCGTCCGGCTGGAAGACGTTAAAGCAAGCGCTTCTTGGGAGGCAACCCATGCAAATAATGAGGACCTAGGCAGCTCCGGCATCATAATCAGATTTGCGTTTCTAAACCCTACTCTTTATTGCTTTTACTTTACCATATTTGTCATGTTTGCTAGTTGTGTTATTTGCTTGTTTTTGTGTGAGTCTATGTTTGAAACATTGAGGACAATGTTTGGTTTAAGTGTGGGGGGGTAAACAAAGTGTTTTTGTGTCAAATTCGTAGGATTTTATCACCTAACATTTCAAAGGTTGTTTTTCATCGTTTTTAAGTGTTTTTAGAAAGTTTTGATGTGCTTTTATGTGGCTTTACCAGAAAATCCGAAAATTCAAGAAAAAAATAGAAAAAGTTTTGAAAAAACCCAAAAAGAGTTGTTTTAAAGTTGTTTTTGGTGTTTGTGTCGTAGAGTACCTTCCAACACAATGATGAGGAATTGGTTTTTAATTGCATGACCGTTAAAGAAAGTTACAAACATGGATGGAAGTTTGATATGCTCTTTTGTTTATGCTTGGTCATCGTTGTTGTTTACGAATTCAAATATAATCACAAAGAAAAAATCAGTTTTTGTAACATGCTTGAAGGAAGTAACTCAAACTAACGCTACAACCTTGTGAGACTTGAGCCTAAACGTTTATTTGGAGAGTTAATAATCTTTGAATTTGTTGTTTTCTAAAGTCGTTGCATGATCTCATCATTCTTTGCTTGGTTGCTACTTAGAAGGCGTGTCATCATTATAGATCCAAATATTAGAACTCATACCCATTTCATTCAAAACTTAAAATTGAGTGCATAACATATAACAAGATGAAGTGTTTAGTAGTTATCACCAGAGCCAAAAAGCCTTCAACCCATGCATTTGTTTTTTGTAGGATTAACCCCTTTGAGCCTTATTTAGCCTATTTTTGTTGTTAGCCACATTATCCGTACCTAGCCTAGAGTAGGACTATCCATACCCTTGTTCTTAAAGGATAATAAAGCATGACTTAGAGGGAATTCCTTTTGATCAATGTGTGCAGAAAACTAAGTGTGGGGGAAGGGAAAGTTTGTGTGCCAAAAGAAGTAAGAAGGGCACGGGTTAGACAAAGAAAAACAAAAGAAAAGGAAAAAAAAAAGAAAGAAAATTCGTAGAAAAAGAAAGAAAAAAAAAAAAAGTGTGAAGAGTATGAAAAGGAGTTGAAAGAGCATAAAATGAGCTCTAAGTTGTTGGTTGTTGAAGCAAGGGTCCAAAAAGTTGAATTAGACCCTAAGTGTTGCATGAATCTTCCCCTTGAGTTTAAACATTGATTTTCGCATGCAAAAGTGAATTCTAAGTATCAATTTCATTACTTTGCTTATTATTCTTTAAGAATGTTTGTTTATCCTTACCTTTCTTTGTTAGCCAATACCGTAGCCCCGTTACAACCCTTTGCTTCTATCTTGATTGTTATGTGTTTCAATATGTGGAGTTTGGAATTGGTATGAGCATATGATATCCCTGGATCTCGCATCTAAGTAGTAGCATTCCATTCATGAGATCGTATACATACATTCATAATTCCAGAAAATGCTTTTATTGTCATAACGTATGTGAGCATTAGTTTTCATATTTACATCAATCTTCTCACATATAACTAGTGTAGGGTGTGTAGTCAGAAAATCTAAGTGAAAAATGAGTGCATATCTAGTAAGAAATTGAGGGATTCTCTAAGACATGTTATTACATTCAAAACATTGTTGTAATTGATTAAATGTGAGCTAGTAAGTGATGACTATGATTAAGTATGTGCTTAAGTGTAAAGATGGCTGAAATCTATGTGAGTAGTAATCTTTGGCGTGTCATGTACCATTGGGAATCCCTGAGGCGATTGTTGGAAGGTTTAGGTTATGTTTTGTTTCATTGTTTTGCTCGAGGACTAGCAAAAGCTAAGTGTGGGGGAATTTGATAGGAGCATATTTATGCGCCTTAGTTAGTTAGTTCTTATGCATTTATGTTGTGTTTTCTTAGTTAAGTTAGTCTTTTAAGCTATTTTCATGTGTTTTCAGGTTTTAGAGACAAAGTGAGCAAAAGGATGCAATTTGGAGCATTTTGGAGCAAAATTGGGCTAAAATGGAGTTCATGCACATGAAGCACAAGGGATGGACGAATTTGAGGAATTGGTGAAGCTAGGAAGGCGTTTCAAAGTTGAAGAATTGAAGATACAAAGTTTCTTAGTTGAAGAAGGAAATGACTTGAATGAAGGATTCCTAAATGAATTGGGATTCCTAATCACTAAAGGAGTCCTAATTGAAGATGGATTCCTAGATATATGAAGTTTCCTACTCAAGCAAGGTTTCCTACATGAAGAAGAAGAATTAAAGCCAAAGAATCAGCTCAAGATAAGGAGTATTATCCAAAAACCTCATCCATAACCTTATCTTAGCTTATCTTATCCAATCAAAACCTTATCCTATCCTATCTTATCCTTATCCTAAACTATCCACATTCCAGCCACTTAGGAGGGTTTCTAATTAGATTAGGATGCTTAAAATGAGATTTCTAGATGACCTTATCTTATCCTATCAAGATGACACCTAAGAACCTTTCTAGAAGCCTAAAAATCTGCCTTGCATTATCCTTCTAGAACCCTAGATCATTGCCGCACCTAATTCCTATTTCCCTTGGGATTTTTTGGTTTCTAGAAGCCTTATCTTTTCACACTCTTTCTGCTGCACATTATCTCCCAATCCCTTTGGGTTTTTGACTTGTTTTCCTTATAGGATTGGATGTTATTATCCTATGCAATTTAGGCCTTTAAAACCTTGTCCTTTGCTACCTAGGAATGTGAATTTTCAGCCTATAAATACAAGGCCTTGCCGCACCTATTCATTCACCACCCTCTACCAGATTTTCACTACACCATTCACCATTCATACCTCTTGTGCCGTGAGTTTGCAAGGAGAAGAAGGAAGACAACTTGGAGCCGTGCATGCCATTCAAGGAGCTTGGATTGTGGAGCGTTTCTAGGTGTTTTCTATCTTTATGTCAATGTTTAAATTTATTTGTCTTTGTGTATTTGCGAACATGAGGAACTAATTTCTTTATAGTTAGAGGGGAATTCAAAGCCATGATCATATGTTTTATATGACTTGATTTCTTCCAATTATGATTTCATGAATCGTGAATGTGGTTTACTTATCTATTTGATTGATAACATGTTTATGTATGTTGATTGAGGGTCGACACTTAGTTTGCATGCATGAATTTGATGCTAGAGTATAAGGGAATTTCACCTAATCGTTATTAACTTATATTCATAAGTAGTAAAAGTCGCTAGTCACGATTGTGTTAAGTAAATCCTAGGCAAGAGTAACATGCGTATCCCATAGTTATGAATGCCTTGTCAATGCTTATGATTTCCATTGAACTTAATGATCTTTGATATGTGTCTCTATCATGCGTATTCCATAGTTAGGGTCCTTGATAAGAATAATTTTGGTTGTAATGCGTATCCCATTCAATTCAATGAATCTAGGGAAATCTGAGAATTAATTGGTCAATCTAGTTAATTTGGGGCATTGTCATTCATGGTTTGTTGAAAGAGTAATTGGAGATCGAGTCGTATGCATATGTTTCATGTGTGGAGAAGGAACCCTCTAGCTAGCCTTTCCCCATTCTATTTCATCAAAATCGTTTTCATTAAAGTTTGTTTTCAAAGTTTCTGTTTTCAAAGTTAAATTCGTCCAAAATCAATCCCCATTTACTTAGTTGAGTCATAGTAGTTAGAAATCACTTTAGTTTATGTTTTTAAGTGTCTTAGGTCAAGATAAAACCAATTTTCGTCCAAGATTGAGTCTAGTGTTCAAAACTGCCCAGATTGTGGTTTTAAGGCAGTTTTGAGTGTTTTTGGGCTGTTTTGAGTCTTTTGGTTTGTTTTGGTGTTTTAAAGTTTAGTTTTGCATTCTTTGAGTTTAGTTTAGTGTTTTAAACTTGTTTTTACGTATTTGAGTCTGTTTTCAAGTGATTTTGCAATCCCTCCTAATCCCCGGTTTAGAACGATCCCTACTTACATACTTTGCTACAATTGATAAAAAGAGGGTTAATTTGAGTGTCAACATAATTTTCACATCAGCCATTCAAGACGTTGGATTGTTGGAGCGTTTCTAGGTGTTTTCATTCTTTGTTTTTAATGTCTAAATTTATGTATCTTTGTTTTGTGGATATGAGGAACTAAGCCCTTCTTGGCTAGGGGGCTATTCAATACCATGATTATACTTGCATTATGAATTGATTACCTTCAGTTGTTATTTCATAAGTTGTGAATTCAATTTGCTTAACTGTTTGATTGATAACTTATTCTTGTATGTTTATTAAGAGTGCACACTTAGTTTTCATGCAAGGATTTGAAGCTAAAATATAAGGGAGTTTCACCTAATAGTTACAAACTTATATTTGCAAGTAGTGGAGGTCGCTTATAAATGATCGTGTTAAGTGAATTCTTGGCAAAAGTTTCATGCTTTTCAGAGTAACAATTGTCTTGTCAATGCTTATAGTTTTCATGAAACTTAATGATCTTTGATTGTACCTTTATTGTACTTTTCACGTAGAGGACTTTTAGAGAATGCTTTGAATTGTTGTATGTGCTTTCCCATCCAATTCATTAACTTAAGGAAAACTTGAAGGTTAAAAAAGTGCTGTCACAGTTAACCTAGAGTATTGAGTTTCATGACTTATTGAGAGAAGCAATTGGAAATCAATTTGAATACAAGTGTGTCATGTGTGGAGAAGAACCCTCTAGTTACCCCATATCTCATCAATTCACCTAAATTTGCTTAAGAATCTGTTTAAATTGTTCTTGTTTTAATTTACTCATTTTCGTCCGAAACCAAACCCCATTTACTTTTTTAAGTCATATTAGTTAGAACTTGTCTTAGATTGTGTTTTCAAGTGTTTTGAGCCTTTAGAAACCCAAATTTCGTCCAAATTGTGTTTAGAGCTC